CATGACATGCAATAGCCAAGAGGCAGGAGTGACCCAAGTGTCCATCAGTAGATGAACAGATACACAAGATGTGGTCTATGTGCACAAGGGAAATATTAATCAGCACTAAAAACAGGGGAAATCCTGTCAAATGCTGCCACATAGATAAGCCTCAAGGACATTGTACGGAGTGAAATAAGCTAGTCATAAAAAGATAAACACTGCATGATTCCATTTACATAGATATCTAAAGTAGTCAGGCTCTTAGAAATAGAAGGTTAGAACAGTGGCTGCCAGGGGCTGGAGGGATGGGGAAATAGGAAGTTTGTTCTTGTTCAATGGTTATAGAATTTCCGCTTCATAAGATAAAAAAGTTCTAGAGATCTGCTGTACAATGTATGGACAGTTAACACTTCTGAATTGGTATACTTAAAAATGGCTAAGATGACAAATTTTTTGTTACCTGTTTTTGACCACAATAAAAAATAATGACAACAATGAAGATGACAATGGCAATAGTTCCTGTAACTAATGTGTTCTAAACACGTTAATGTGTCCCAGACACTGGGCCACATGCTAACAGATCACATTCGATCCTTTCAAAGCCCCATGAAGGGGGCAGTATGATCCCCATTTTATCCAAAAGCAAAGTGAGGCTCAGTAAGGTCCCCAGCCACCCTCTCTGCTAGGAGCACAGCAGTGATTGAGCCCTGGCACCTGACCCCAACCCCAGAGCAGACTCAGTTTCTCTGCAATGTACCCTCTGGCTGGAAAGACGGCATTGCAACAAATCCAGGAGGGAGATGCACATCTTATGCTGCCGAGCAACTTTGTCTGGGGGAAGAAAGGGAAATCCGGCTGGTTTTTATTATTCCCACAGGTGAGCTGTTCTTCCTCAGTTCATCCAATCAAGGCTAGTCCTGGCGCTTCCAAAATACTTTCCATCTGGACCCTCTGAGCACTTTTCACTCATCATCTCTGCTACTGTGCGCACTTATTTCATTGCATTTTATTAACATCATAAGTCTGTCTCATGTTATAAGTGGAGAGCTTGTTGAAATTTACAAACTGATGACACCCACTGGTCCAACACCCAGAACAAGACACAGAACACAGCCAGGATGCCGGCAGCTCTCCTCATACCCCTCCAGTCACTTACACTGTCTAATATCACAGACGGATTTTGTCAAAAGAATTTGTTTTTAAAATTATGAGCAGTTAGCTCTCAGGCTGGGATTTTGTAATCGACAGAGTAAAAGACAGAGACGCGGTCAGAACGGAACGGTAACAGAGCAGGGGCTTGCGTCTAGACAGATCTGAACTTCAATCCCGGCTCTACCACTTCCTTCCTCTGTGCCTTTGTGAGAATGACTTAACCTCTTTAAAGCTTACCTCTCTCATCAGAAAAAGGGGATGTCACAGACCTTTGTAGGAATAAATCAAACACTGTATGTAAACCTAGCATGGGGCCTGGCACAGAGTTAATATTCTTTGCAGCAGGTGCTAGAAAACTATGCTTTATAAATAAAGTTTTATTGGAATGAAGACATGCCCATCCATTTACATATTGTCTATGGCTGCTTTTGCACAATAAGGGCAGATGTGAATAGGTGCAGCAGACAGCGCATGCCTTGCAAAGTCAACATTTTTTACTATCTATCCCTTTACAAAGAAAGTGTGCCAATTCCTGCTGTAGAATGCGGGTCATGTTCAGTGTGGTATCCACCAGGACTAGAACTCTAGAGCACAGAGTAGGTGCTCATGCAGGGGCTTTTGAACTGTATGATGTGAGACAAATATATCATCTTCTTCTTCAAGTCGTCATTAGTGGCAGTTTTCTTCATTTTGCACTTGAACATATTCCTAAACAATAGCGTAAGGAAGGAGTGAAACCCTAAAGATTAAGCCTGATAAAAACTTGAAAGAAGTCAGCCCTGCAGGTACCTAGGCTTATAAATCCCAGCAAAAGAGAAGCACCTGTGGTTTAGCAGAAACAACAATGAACTTGGAGAAGAACAGTTAGAATCTTAGCTCTAACATTAGCTAATTGGTAGGTCCAAATATGGAGCAATTCTCAGAATCTTAGCACCCTCGATTATTAAGTGCAAAAACACCACTGCTGACTTCTGCTTCAGAAAGGCAGCTCCAGCTGGAGTGGAACAGGACAAGACCAGAGTCGGGAAAGCTGCTGGGAGCTTAAAGGATTTCAGGCAGGCACTTATCAAGGGTACTAGAAATAATGAGATGGCAAATTTTCAGGTGTTTTGAAAATCATTATTTTCACATAAGATAAGCCTGTTGAAATAATGTTCCATAGAACTTGTTACACTGTAATTGTTTCCTGGACTCTCTCACCAGGCTGAGCACTCCTAATGAATGGAAACCATTACTACTCCTTGCTGTCTGTCGCTTCATCATCTCATGTTTCATAGGAAGCGTGATCCCGACACAGTGTAGGCACAAAGTAATTGTTAGATGAATAAATGAACATGGCATTAGATCAGGCAGATGTGTGGTCATACGCCACACCAGAAAAAGGACTGGGAGTCACGGAAGCTCAGATTTAATGTGCAAACTAGAAAATGACGGAGTGTCTGGAGGTGAGAATGAGTCAAGAAAACACAACTTGCCCTCCTTTTTAGGTGCGTGACACATCCACTCATTCACCATCTTCTCTGGGCAAAGTTCCACTGACTCCCCTCCTGCCCGCTCCTTCCTTGAAATGCGCTCTCCCCCAGCTCTGTGCCCGTACCTCCTTGGAGGGCTCTTTCCTTCCATGTATTCCACCTTTGGCCCCTTCTCTTGACACTGTGTGTTCTCATCCAGTTTGAGAGCTTCGACTGGCATTTACAATAATTCACAGAATTCTTGAATCCAAATTTCCACTCAGATCTCTTTCCTGGGTCCAGGAAATATCCCTCCTGGTCTTCTTGCTCACTAGACATCTCCACTGATGCCCCCAACTCCCCACGTCGGCAATGGGAGTCATCATCTATACCCCTGGACACGCGCCCTATTGCCCGCCAAGATGGCAAAGCTGGAAAACCAAGCCACTCCTAGCCCGCTCTCCGTCCCAAGTCCAACCATCAATCACACGCCCTCCCACTGCTTCCAGAATCTCAGACTCCATCCACCTCCCTCCAACCGCCCAACCCTCCCTTAGTTCTGGCCAGCATGGTCTCCCGCCCCAATCACTCCCAGCATCTGACTCCCGTCTTATCCTATTCCAACCCACCTACAGTTGCCTTTCTAGACCAGAACCCAGATCGTATCACATGCTCTTCAAAATGCATTAACAGCTTCCCAGACACGTTAGTTGGTACAGAACCGTGCTGTCCAACACAGCAACCCCTAGCTATGTGTGACAAATGAGCACTTGAAACACAGCGTGGTCTGACCAGAGAGGTGCTGAAGTGTCAAATACACACCAGATTTGAAGACTGAGGATGACAACAAAGACTATAGTCATTTAGATTGAGTGTTCAAATGATAATGTTTCAGGATATAGAAGGTTAAATAAAATATATTTTAAAGTTCATTTCGCCTGGATGTTTTGTTTTTTAACGTTTCGCGAAGCTGGGACTATAGGCGTGTGCCACCATGCCTGGCTAAGTTTTGTACCTTTTGTAGAGATGGGGTCTCACTATGTTGCTCCAGCTGGTCTTGAACTCTTGGCCTCAAACGATCAGCCTCCTAAAGTGTTGGGATTACAGGCATGAGCCACCACACCTGGCCTTCAAAATTTTTTTTAACATAACTGCTAGGAAAGTTAAAATTATATCTGAGCCTCATATTATATTTCTACAGGATGGCAATGGTGCAGAAAGCCCCTCACCACTGGCTCCCTGCCAGCCTGGCACCATTCTAACCTCTTACCGCCTTCACCCCTGCCCTCCCTCCCCCAGCTCTGGGCTTGCCTGCAGTTCCTGAATAGCCCACTTGCTTTCTGGTTTTGGTACACAGGGTACTCCCTCTCCCCAGAACATTCTATCAGGTCAACTTCTGCTGGTCTCCCAAGACTCAGGTTTGCAATACCTAGGAAATATTTTCTGAGCACGAATGTCATTTGTTGTCCCCAATGCCCAAGAGCCCCTGGCACCCATCACGTGTCCCACATTGGCCTCTGACTCAAGCCTGACTCCCCACTTGGATTAAAAATTCCCCACATTTTACTTATCATCAGATCTATAATGCAGGAACTAGCAGAAGTTCCAGGTACTTGGTCTGTACAGAATCAAAGAATACAAATATAGCCAATGAACTCAGAGCCTAAAAAGGTGACTAATAAAAAGTAGACATAGCCTTAAAGCACCATCAACCAAAAGAGATAAAAGTACCAGGAAGCTATGCTCTAAACTTTGGGTTAAAGTAAGTTAAAAAGAATACTCTGACATTTTTAGCAACTTTAAAATGGTTGGAACCATTGATTGGGCCACTCTGTGCCTTTGGACCTGAACTACTGAAACATTTGGCCACGAGCGCAAACACAAACATACTACTAAGTTCACTGTAGCAACATTTATAATGGTAAAAAAATGGAACAAAAGCAAAGTATTCCATCAACAACAGAGGCTGTAAATTATACATATCCCTTCAGCAGAATAACACATGTAGCTGTGAAAAAGAAGGAAACAGACACTGGGCACAGAAAAGGAAAGATTTCCCTTGCGGGGGAGGGAAAGTACACAACACTGCAGATTGTTTCCTCACGTTTGTGTATTTCAAAGTGATGCGCTTGTGTATATGTTTACACAGACTCTCATCAGAAATACACCCGAGGATGTCTAGTCACAAGGTAACGGTGGTTGGGAGGGTGATGGGGCTTGTCTTCACTGCATACTCTCTTTGAATTTGCTAATCATATACATGAATTACTTTTATCATAAAAATATTAATGAGGGCTTTCTGGGTGTTTTTCCCTCTATTTCTGTATGGCCAAGGAAAAGTACCAATTATCTCCCCCAACCCCCCAACCACATGGACAGACAGTAAAACAGCAACATTAATTCGAGGTCGCCTACCGTGATCTTCTTGTGGTCAGGAAACTCAAGGCCAAAATAGTCGCCTTCCACAAGATTGAGGTGGTTGCAAACTGCATCCAGCAGCACCTTCCCGGGAGCTCTTTGCTGCGAACAGAAACAGCAGGGGTTACACCCTCTGAGACAGGCAGGATGCAAACAAGCCACAGCTCCTCTCCGCAGGACACCTCTGGGGTCCCCAGCATGCGTGCGGGTCCTTCACAGCTTGGCATGACCCGCCTCCTCCACGCCCTGAACACCGGCCCCACCCACACCTCTGCTGTCCCCACGCTCAGATGCAAATCTCTGCGGTTTTCTCCCCACCCCAACCCCAGGCACGACTCCCCCTCCTTCTGCAATTAATAGACTATTTTTGAGTTCACAAAAAATTGAGCAAACAGCAGACTTCCCATATACCTTTCTTGGCACATACTGGGTACTCTATTATTAATAACATCCTTAGCAGTGCAGTAACATTTGTTACTATTGTTGAGCTGATATTGTAACATTTGTTACAATTGTTAGGCTGATATTGATACACTATCCTCACTGAAACCCCATCGGTTACATTAGGCTTCACTCACGTGCTGTAAAGTTCTACGGGTGTTGACAAATGGACAGTGACATGTCTCTACCATGACAGTATCACACAGAAGAGTTTCACTGTAGCAATCTAGTTTTACCCTAAAAATCCTCTGTGCTCCACCAATTCGTCCCTCCCTCCCTCCTGACCCTTGGTAACCACTGATGTCCATACTGTCTCTACAGTCTGCCTTTTCCAGAATGTCCCATAGATGGAATCATACAGTGTGCAGCCCGTTCAGACTGGCTTCTTTCACTCAATGTGCATTTAAGGCTCCTCCATGTCTTTTCAGGGCTTGAAAGCTCATTTCTTGTTATTGCTGAACAATATTCCAATGTCTGGATGTGCCATAGTTTGTCTATACATTAACCTGCTGAAGGACACCCTGGCTGCTTCCAAGTTTTGGCAATTATGAATAAAGCTGCTATAAATACTTGTGAGCAGGTTGTGTGTAGACGTAAGTTTTTAACTCAGGACTCTACCCTTTATGTGGCAGTTAAATCTTGTCCCTATGCCTGTCTCCTCCACAAACATGACAGCATTGATGGCTTTCTTCTCCAGGTTCTTGTAGCACTTTGCCCAGACTCTCATCGAGACTATACCCATACTGAAGGCCATATTCTATTCATCCCTGTATCTACCATGCCTGAAGACCAACTGATTTTGTTGAAATGAATGAATGAACACATCATTAAAAGTTACCCATGTAACTGTTATATGCAGTTTACTATCTGCTGAGTCTGTGTCCATAATTAATTTCAGGCCACCTATTTATCTTTATATTCCTATTGCCTAACAAAGCACCTGGCACTCAATCAATGTCTGCTGAAATCCATACCATTCATGTATTTTTCTCTTTCTTTTTTTTAATTTAGAGACAGGGTCTCAGTCTGTCACTCCAGGCTGAAGTGCAGTAGCCTGATCACAGTTTTCTCCAGCCTTGATCTCCTGGGCTCAAGCGGTCCTTCTGCTTCAGTCTCCCAAGCAACTGGGACTATAGGCACGTGCCACCACGCCTAGCTAATTTTTCTTTCTTTCTTTCTTTTTTTTTTTAATAGACACAAGGTTTCACTATGTTGCTCAGGCTGCTCTCAAACTGCTGGCCTCAAGTGATTCTCCCGCCTCAGCCTCCCAAAGTGCTAGAATTACAGGCATGCACCCAGCCACCATTCGTGTATTTTCTATATATCGAATCTATAGGGAAAGGAAATATATATATAAGAACTCAATTTCTATGCTAAGGAGTTTAGAATCATATGCCTCACTTTCTCTTCATTGCTCAGTAGACTCCTAATGACCCACTAGTAAAATGGGTCAACAAAGTTCCACCACATGGATCAAACTCTGGAAGAAGAATGTTTCCAAGACATGGCTGAAAGGACAGCATTGCTGATAGACTATCTAGCGGAGGGGAAAAAAGGAGAAAACTCAGCACATAATTGCCCCTTTGAAGAGAACAATCACAGCACACAAAGCACACACATCCTCCTTGATTAACCATCTGTGGGTGAACATCCCCCAGCAGGGTGAAGTAGGGAACAATGAGCTGCTCCACACCAGTCCCTGGTCCTGGGTTCAAGTTCTCACACCAGCTGCCAAAGCGCTGCTTGGTTAATTTACACGACTTATCCTGGGCCCTCCTCCCCCTCCGGTAAAATCTCTAGACATGGATAAGAATGTTATAAAAATGGGCCAGGGGATAAGAACTTGTGGAAGAATTCCCACACTGTTAAGATTTTTTTTTTTTTAGGGAAGACCATATTCCAGTTTCACAATCTTCTTTCTCACAACTCTCGATACTTCCTACTTCTGACCAAAATGAACCACTCATTATCCGCCCCGCCGGCAAGCACTCACATTCCCCAAAGAATTCCTGGAACTGAGAGAATTTGATAAACTTCATCTAGATTTACGGAGTCTGAGAAATGAGACGTAACAATGCAACACTGGAAATCTAAACAAGTTTTAAAACAAGCAGTATACAATGGATGTCTTTATGCACACGGTGTTACACTAAGCACTTTATAAGAAGGGGAAGGAGAGTTAACATCTGGGTCGTTTACAGAGTCAGAGAGGTTTCTGTGAACATGTTGAGCACATCCTGGTAATAATACAAGGCTGTGCCGAGTTCTGGAACCTGCAGCCGCACCTCGGCGTTTCAAATACTGCCTGGGCTCCATCAGAGACAACTGCAGCAAACGACTGATTAACTCCCTGCACAATGATGGGTTTGCAATAAATGCCCGGGATCTAGCTAATAAATGAGGAACCTAGTCTCAATCCTTTAAAATTTCCTTATAATTTATTTTTCTATACAAATGTTTATAAAAAATGACTTCTCTATGGTACCAAAATTTTTTATAGGGGGACATCAACGTAGAGTTTGAATGATAACTTTATAGCTCCTAAAATTCATCTATAAAATAGATGCCTATAAAGCATTATACGGATTCCCCTGTGAAGGCTGGCTACATTCAGGGATGTAGGAAACTCGGCATACAGCATCACTGGAATCTATGAGGGCTTGAATGCACCCACCACATGACAATTTCATGGGTAAATGGCACCATAATGGGCTCCGTGGACTCAGCGTGAATGCCCCAATGTATACACCAGGCAGCTAGAGCCTAAAACATTTCCAGATATAATGACACCAAGAAATGTTCAGGAATTCCATTTCCCTTGCTTTTTAGGAATTGGTATAGAATGATTTTGCTGTGTCAGGGCTACACTCTGCTTCAGAGGAAGCACCTCAGAGAAGAGAGGTAGGAGATGCGTTTGTTCCTCATTCTTTACGAAAATTATTATCCCTTTTCTTCCTATGGCAGATTTGCTCCATCAGCCTGCAGTATTTCCCTGTACTTGTTGCCAGTGAGTTTTTGAACTTCATTCTGAAAGTAACACTGTTGCAGATCACAACCCAGAATTTTTCTTTTTTTCCTTTTTTTGAGACAGAGTCTTGCTCTGTTGCCCAGGCTATCGTGCCCTGGTGTCAGCCTAGCTCACAGGAACCTCAAACTCCTGGGCTCAAGGGATCCTCCTGCCTCAGCCTCCTGAGTAGCTGGGACTACAGGTACGTGCCACCATGCCTGGCTAGTATTTTTTATTTGTAGTAGAGATGGGGGTCTCGCTCATGCTCAGGCTGGTCTTGAACACCTGACCTCATGCCATCTTCCTCCATTGGCCTCCCAGATTGACAGGATTACAGGCATGAGCCACCATGCCCATCCTTACATCCCAGAAAGTAAAATGGTGCAGCTACTATGGAAAACAGTATGGTAGTTCCTCAAAAAATGAAAAATAGACTCATCGTATGATCTAGCAATTCCACTTCTGGGTATAGACCCAAAAGAACTGAAAGCAGGGTCTTGAAGAGATACCTACACACCCACGTGCACTGCACCACTAGTCACAGTAGACAAAAGCTGGAAGCAACCCAGGTGTCCATCAAAAGATGAATGGGTAAACAAAACGCAGTGTATATGCATACGAGGGAATATTACTCAGCCTTAAAGAGGAAGGTAATTCGGGCACATGATCCATCATGGATGAACCTTAAAGATATTGTGCTAAGTGAAGTAAGCCAGTCATGAAAGGACAAATACTGCATGATTCCACTTAAATGAGGTACCCAGAATAGGTAAATCCACAGAGACAGAAGGTAGAATGGGGGTTGTCAGGGCCTGGGGCAGGGAGAATGGGGTGTTAGTGATTAATAGGTACAGAGTTTCAGTTCCGCAAGATAAAGAGTTCTGGAGATGGAGGGTGGTGATGGTTACATAACAATGTGAATGTACTTAATGCTACTGAATGGCACAACTAAAAATGGTTAAAATGGTGAAAATCTGTTATGTATATTTTACTATAAAAAAGTGCAGAAGAAAAGAGGGGGAAAGTAACTGAGGAATGGGGCTGACATCTATTAACAGCTGAGGGTTACTCACAATGCAATCTGTAACACTACTTTTAAGAGCAAGAAGATATACCTGGTTGATCCTGCCAGTAAAAAAAAAAAAAAAGAGCAAGAAGATAAAGAACCCATTTTCCTTACATTAGATCTTAGAAAAATACTGGGGGGTAGGACCTTATCACACGGAGGGAAGGAGTGAATATCCATGTGTTTGCACTAAATATTTGCTAATGTTTCTCAGCACAAAGAGTTCTTTCATATGTCTGGCAAAAAAAAAATGGGTAACATGAACATCTTTGGAAATAACCACAAATTATGCATTTGGGGCAGGCTTTGCCCTGGAAGATGATAATACGATTCAAAAGCTATCATACAAATCTACTAGCCCTTTATTGCTTTAAGAAAGAAAATCCAAAGCTGTAAACAAGTCAATAAAGTCAGAGTTGGGGGGGAAGGTGGCAACAGCACAGATTAAGCGGGCAGAACATGGAGAGGAGACCTGGAGGAAAACTCATCAGTGAAAGTATTTTCTCAAAGAGTACCTTATTGTAACACATACACACACACACACACACACACACACACACACACACACACGGCTGCACGAACTATCAC